TGTAGGGAACAACAATGTCAGGCAGATCACTGTTATTATGTTAGGTACTTTTACAACTCCTATCTCATCCTACTATGCGGATGATATGGTTATTGCAGTGGCGAGTATTGATGCGATCAATAATGTGAAGAAGCAGATGTCCGAGCAATTTGCAATAAAGGATTTAGGAGTTGCAAAGCAAATCCTTGATATGAGAATTGTCAAAAATCGAGTCAAAGGCACATTAAGGATTTCACAGGCTAAATATGTGAAAAAGGTGCTTATCATATTCAATATGGTAAGGCTAAACCAGTTTGCACATCTTTGGGCAGTCACTTCAGAGTCAACAAAAATCAGTCTCCCAAGTCAAAAGAGGAACGAGACTACATGAGTAAGGTTCCTTACGCCTTAGCTATTGGTTCACTTATGTATGTTATGGTTTGCACAAGACCAGATATTGCTCTTGCAGTGGGAGTTGTGAGGAGATACATGAGTAATATAAGAAAGGAACATTAGAAAATTGAGAAGTGGATCTTGAGATACCTAAGCAGTTCTTCAGAAACTTGTTTATGTTTCTCAGGAAAGAGCTTGGAGGTACATGGATTTGTTGATTCAAATTTAGTCGAAGGCATTGATAGTAGGAGGAGTACTACATGTTATGTGTATACTCTTGGTGGTACTGCAATGTCATAGGGCTCAAATCTACAGAAAACAATTTTGTTGTCCACTACAGAAGCTGAGTACATTGCAGTGTCAGAGGCTGCAAAGGAGATTATATGGCTGCAGAGTTTCTTGGAAGAGCTGGGTAAAGAAGTTCAGAATGACACTCTCTACAGTGATAGTCAGAGCGTCATATTCATGGCGAGGAATCCAACATTTCAATCCAGGACGAAGTACATTCAGAGCAGGTACTTCATACGATCATTGCTAGATGATGGACAGTTATTACTTGAAAAAATTTATGGAAGCAAGAACTATGCTAATATGTTGATAAATGGTGTTACACTTGAAAAACTCAAGTTGTGCTCAACTTCAGTTGTTCTTTTAGCACGAAGACGGAGGCTTTGAGTTGCAGAGGTGGAGAATGTCACGTTCGAGAAAAAGGACGGTACAGCCAGAAGATGATGCAGCCAGCGAATCAGTCTCTAAGTAGGAGAATTATTGGGTAATGGAGTCTGTTCCCGCTAAAACCCCTCTCAAACGGTCCCGTGTCCCACCTCACATGGTCCTGCCTCCCACCTCACGCAGTCCCGCCGAACTCCGCCTTCACGCAGAATCGTATCTCCTTCTGTATTCCTTTAAAGGCTTTTTTCTTCTCTTATAAAGGGCAAAGCCTAAATCCATCTATGGATCACTACTCTTCGGCTAAAGCATACAGAGGAAAAGAAAAAGGTAAAGATTGCTTCCCCTTTTTTATTTCATTCAGTTTGCTCGCAGGGAAAGGAAATCTTGTTTATTCCACTTCTCAAGTGGCTTTAGAGAGAAAAAGAGGAGGGAGAGAAAGGAAGAGAGAGAAAGGTTCTTATAAACGTTGAGGTGCACGATGGTGTTATTCTCAAAGCAATAAAAAAAATTTTTGTAGCTCTGTGGATGTAGGCAAATTCGCCGAACCATGTAAATCAGTGTGTTATTTTCTGGTTTGCAATTTTTTGATCCATTTTTTTCGTTTTATTGTCGTCATTTTTCATAACAAATTTACTGATGGAAAACTAACAGCTTTTTGATGAGCTGTTGATAAAGCGTCTTTTCGACGTCCAATAAAACTTCGATAGTCCAGAGAGAAACAAATATACTCCAAATTACATACACGTTTGACCATCGAAGGCTACTGATAGTTTATCGACGCATAACCAAAAGGTCACCCCTCCGATAATGTTCAATAGTTTTCAGTCATCGTTTATGTCACACACGAATACCGACAACTTACCAATGATTTATATTTCATTGTACATCGACAGTTGTGGCCCATCGAAAAAGCATCGGAAGGTCATGATCATCGGTAAAATCATCGCTTTTGAAATAACCGACAAGAGATTTAGCTAAACCCTACAAAGCATCAATAAACCGTTGAAAATATGTTAATTGACTGTTTATAACATATACTGGTGGCTTTTTACTATCATAAATAAGTTAAATTCCTCTAGTGAATACATAGGAATTGGGTGGTATGTATGTAAATATTTCTTATATTAATAGCTCCCTTATGTTATAAATAGGACCCGTTGAAAATAAGGATTCTATGATATCACTTTCCATGAAATTTCTTATTGATCAATTATTGATCAAGTCGATATGACGAACATTCATGCCTTCTTATGAAGAACTGTTCTTACGCTGATATTATCAATGAACAAATTATCTAAATATGTTATTCTATGAAGATAATACATACTATACTCATAAAATTTTTTAAGCATTGTACGATTGTCAGTGAAATATGTAAATCAAAAAAGAAGTTTCTAGGAATTTTCAAATGACTGTGTGTGTGCATTATGTAACTATAAATACATTCACAATACTATAACACCATAATATATCTTTCGTTTTATCTAATTTTTAAACCTATTAAAACAGTGATCAACTAGACGACAAACTATTATTTGGCCTTTTAGATGTCTTATTACTTTGTTTGAAGTTAATTATGTGCACTGAACAAGCATTTTGATTTAATTTTTCAGAGGAAAACGAAAGATAATTAAATAAGGTCATGGTCTTATGTCTAAGCAGTTTGCTCCTTCATTTGCTCATTTTCCAACTTAAATTAAAATACGGCTCTCTTTCAAAAATGCTTCTTCATATGCAGAAGGTTGAGAATCCTGAGTATGCATTTTATTGAATTCAATTATATTTTTAATGGTGCATTTAGATTTTACATATCTAACACCTATATTTTCTTCTTTTTTTTTTTATTCATACTAACCAAATCTTTCATATCTCACAAAAAATACCACTATTTTAACCTTCAAACAAATTAAATAACCCTTCGGGTACAAAATTAAAAAGTGGCAAAGATAAGATAAGCTCATGCAGTTTAACATTTAAATTTATTTTAGAAGACTGCAATTTATTTTGCTTATTTTCTTATCATTAATCTAATTTAAGGAATTAACACAATTACCATTAAATGTTGAGTAATCTGCATTCCTTTGACCAACGCGTAAAATCATCTAGCTACCGGCATGGGTTGAGTGTGAACGACTGCTTTCCATGTTGACCTCCTTCCAGTGCCTTTAGAACTCTTCCACATAAATGGGCAAATAAAAAACAAAACAAAACTCTTCATACTCTTCCTATATTCCAAGTTTTCTCATGATAATTTTAATAATCCTTTTCAATGATTAAAGATTGAAAAATATAATTCATGATTTAGCTGTTTCCTTCAAGTGGTTTAGCTTTCATACTTCATATCACTCAATTGTGATGTATTTACATGTAGGAAAAGATGGCTTATACTTTCTAAAAGTTAAATCAGAGATATTTTGAATGTGAGATTAAAGATTTATGTGGTATAAATATAAAATATAAAATTTATGTGTTAAATATGTAAATAAAAATTAAAATTTAGGTGATTGATATGTTAATACGTAGAAATTGGGTAGCAGTTATGTAAATCTATCTTTTTTATGTCCATGTTGGTTTCGTTGGGCCTACAGCAATTATTGAGAGAAAAACCTTGTAAATTAATTATTACTAGGCGCTGGTTTTTCTTAAATTTGCTCAATCCATAATTATTGGTCCTATAATTTAATTTCAAACTCTATCTATTAATCCAGTACAAGTTAGGTTTGAATTTAATTTATTATAATTTGACTGAGCGTTAAAAATAACTTATTAGAGCTGATTCATGTCAACATTAGCGCTGTTAAAAGAGCTCGTTGTTCTCGAACAGTTCGTGTTTGGCTCGTTAATGAGCTCCTGTTTGATTCGTTCTTTAAGTAAACGAGACGAACGTGAACAATTTTTTTTGTTCGGTTAGTTAAACGAACGAAACACGAACAGTAATGCGTTCGTTCGTGTTTGAATCATTATTGTCCGAAATATAAAATAATTTAAAATAATTATATATAAAAAATTTATGATATTTTAAAAAATTAAATTTTATAAAATATAATATATAATAAAGTAATAATAATATCATCTTAATATACTATATTAGTAATGTACTAATACAGATATTATATATTATATTATATAAGTTATAAAATTAATATGATATATTATTTATATATATTAATATTAGGAATGTCAAACTGCCTCGTCATTCGCGAACATCTCGTGTTCAACTCGTTCATTAAGAAACGAACACGAACAATTTCGAACACAAACTTATTTTAAACAAACTAAATTTCAAATGAACCAAACACGAACACAAACTCTGTTCGATTTTGTTCGGTTCGTTTACACCCCCCAGGTAATTGTAAGATATTTTAACCGATATTTCAAGAAAATTATAATTTTGGTGAAAATTACAAGGAAATGAAAATTTAAATGACATTTATTGCATGGATTTGATGATTTTTCAAACTGTCCTCACTGATTGCAACGGATATCTGAAATCTGAAAAAGCAAACCATTCAAATGAAACAGACCTAACCGACACCAGATTGCTTTAAACGATTCTGCCACGAACAAATCGAAAGTTAGTCGTTAATCGGAATTCTGTTATGAAAAAATAGCAAGAAATACATATTACATTTAAATTATTAATTTAATTTCTTGAACCCTCCATTTCAATTAATTTTTTTTTTATTTTTTGATTCTTTCAATTAAATAAAAATAAAAATCTAAAAAAAATTTAAAAAACATTTTTAAAATCGAACAAAGTGTATTGTTTCATCCGATTTTTTCGGCTTTAACAAGATAATTGCACGCAATATAGAAACTTTGCAAATACTATTGTAGGCCGTCTGATCCAACGGTTGGGAGTTGTTGAGTTTTCCTCATTCTCTACTCGGACACCATATTTAGACCTTCACCGCCCAACCGTCTCCCCAATAAAAGCTCCATCTTCATCTCTATCCCTCCACTCATCCTTCCGTTCAATTCATAAAAGAAAGACAATTCAAAAGCATTAAAAAAATTGGATAAGATAGGTTGCCCTTTGGCATAAAAACTCTTATCCTGTTCCGATTTCTTCTCCCGGCATCAATAAATAGATAGGCTTTTCTTCTGCGCTGTGGAGCTCTGCTGTCTGGAGCTGGAACGGAGAGAAACAGAGATACAGGAAGCAGAGATTGTGCAGAAGAGAGAGATTGGAACCATGGCTGCTGAAAGATCACTGGAGGAAGGAGTCCCACCGAATTCTACCGAAGATGAGAATGGATCTTCAACCGATAACGATTCTCCTTTGAGCGTCCCCGTTCCTCTTCTGCATAAGGCAATCTTCTTCTTCTTCTTCTTCTTCCAATATTTATCATCTGCATGTTTTCTGTAGTTCATTATTACATTATGGCTATTGTGTAAGATTTGGTTAGAATAGGTATAAAAATCTATTGCTGAAAGCATGATATGTTATGATTTAAGCCTTTGGGATCCGGTTGATTTCTTATGACAGGCTTTGATGGCTCAGTTCGTTGACTGTGACTGATATTATATGCTTCGTTTTATCTTATTTTCCTCTTTTGTCCGGAAGATTAGATTTTCTTTTTTTTTTCTTAAGAAAAAGTAAATTGGGGTGTACATCGTTATTATTTTTTTTCCTTAAACATTGTTACAAAAATCAAATTTTTATCTTGTTAAGAGTAAATCTACTTCATTCATGCCCTTGAAACTATCTTCTAACAACAATTAATTATCATCAGCATCGGATTTATTCCAGCTATTAGGTTTGACTTTATCATTATCATTTCTCCATTGTTGATTATTAGTAATTCAATTTTTTTATCTGTCCTTCACATGGCTGCGTTGTTCTCATTTGTTAAATGTGTTCAGATCATTGATAATTTTTAATTATCTTATCTAAAATCTGGTCTTTTTTAATTCATCCTTTATAATTTTTTTAATTTTTTTATATTAACTCGGCAAGTTTTATCATAGCAAATTTGCCTTCCTAAAGTATTCTAATGCCCAATGCACAATTCATGCAAAATATTCTTGAATCACTAGTAATCCATGTCAACAAACAGCAACTCTTGCACGAAATAATAAATTATATTTAAAAATAAGAATCAAATCATACAATTAAAGAAATTGGTTAATTCTCCGTCTAATCAAATAGGTAGATTCACTTGTTGAGCAACCTTAAATTTAACTTTTTCTTTTTTCCCCCGCTTGTCAGATAACTTGATTTCCTTCATATATTGCAGATAATTGCAGAAATTATTGGCACGTATTTCATAGTCTTCGCTGGCTGCGCTTCGGTGACAGTGAACAAGAGCACGAAGGGAACTGTTACCTTTCCTGGGATATGTGTCGTGTGGGGTTTGGCGGTCACTGTAATGATATACGCAGTCGGCCATGTCTCCGGGGCACACTTCAACCCAGCCGTCACCATTTCCTTTGCCACTTGCAGGAGATTTCCATGGAAGCAGGTCTACTCATCATAATCATCATAAGAAATTTTGATTAATTGCAGTGTTATGATGAAATTTATTAAAAAAGTAGAGTTCTTTCAGGTACCAGCTTACATTGCAGCACAGGTGTTGGGATCAACTCTGGCAAGCGGTACGCTCCACCTTCTATTTGGCGGTAGCCGAGAGCTCTTTGCTGGAACAATTCCGACGGGCTCCAATATCCAGTCTTTAGTTTTGGAGTTCATTATCTCTTTCTACCTCATGTTTGTAGTTTCCGGTGTTGCCACTGATAGCAGAGCTGTAAGTCATCATTTCACTTTTATACAACATAAATTAAAAAACTTCATTTTGACAAGCAATTTTTTGTTGCAGATTGGAGAACTTGCAGGAATTGCAGTGGGATCCACTGTGCTGCTAAATGTTGGCTTCGCTGGGTAAAATTTTACAATGTTGCTTTTGCTGAACTTCAATATAATCCTTCTTATTTGGTTGTAGGGAAGGAGAGAAACTGATTATAATCTTTTTTCTTTAAATTTGTCAATTTTGATGACAGGTTAATATCTGGAGCATCGATGAACCCTGCAAGGAGTTTGGGGCCAGCGATAATATCGAACCGCTACGGATCGATATGGGTTTATATGCTTGGTCCAATTTGCGGGACAATTGCTGGGGCTTGGGCTTATAATCTAATTCGTCACTCGAACAGGCCATTACGCGAGCTCACGAAGAGTGGCTCTTTTCTTAAAAGCTTGAAGATAAATAGTTCAAAGTAATATAGTGGCTATGTTTAGATTGCACAATTTATTGAAGCAAACTATGGTTTAAGTTCCATAGAAGCAAATATTAGAGTTGTAATCTGATGATTTTTTAATCAATTGATGCTAATTTCTCAAGAATCAATGTAGTTGATGACAGATGGATGGTGCCCCTAAAACAGCTTGTTTCAAGTGATCATGGATATGGAGCATTTCTGTCTTGTGGTTGGATTGATATTTTAATTTTATGTTGTAGGCCAGAAAAATAATTTATTTTGAACATCATGAACAAAAATATAATAAGAAAGAAATAAGTTAATGAGAAAATGCAAGATATTTGTGTTGTTTAGCAGGCCAATTATTTAATGCTAATGGGACTATTGTACATTAAAATATTTTGATTTAATTTAATTTCAATTTCATGCAGATGCTCATATGTATTAGGTCAAAGACACTCATGTATACTTGGTCAAAATTTTAGATCTCATGATTGAAGTCAAAGCATCAGACTAGGGTAAAATAATTCGCATTTATTTTACAATTTTTTTATTATCTTACATATTCATCTAGTTTTTTAAAAATTATATAACCAATTATTTATTGTATAATAGTATTTTCATGGCGAACTAGTTTTCCATACAAAAAGTTCTTAAGAGAATTTTTCATATTGATGAAGGAAAACTTACACTCATCTTCCTTATTTTTTTTCCACTCAACTACAAGCTCAGCATTATATTGAATTCCTACTCCAAAGAAAGATTCAACCAATGTGTATTAAAATTAGATTTAATATATTAGCAATTAAAATTATTTGTATTTGGCTATTTTAAGACTATTATGAAATTCATCATAATTATTTTTTCATGGTATATTTTTTAAATCTTTTTTATTGAAATAAATAAATACCATAAATTGTAATAATCATGATAACAACCAAGCCATTTTTGAATTTTATCCTGACAGAATTGGGTCAAATTTTAGGTTGATTTCAATATAAAATGTGAGAAAAAGTTTATATTTTGTTAAGACAAAATAGATATAAAGTAGTAATGAAAGTCCGCCTAAAAATATGTGTTTAGTTATGGGTTTTGCAAAAACTACGAATAGAATGAATTGTTAGATTTAACAACTCTTACTGTGAATCATGAAAATTCACTCTCTTAGAAAAAAATGATTTCATAATTTAAGGTTTAGATGTGAGGAAGACTACAACACATTATGTTTTTTATTATTAAATGAGGAGACTAGAATAATAACTTCCTAGAAGGAAGCAACAAGAAGTTTTAAGTAGATCGATCTAATATACTTAAATCCACTAAAAAAAAAAATATTTCAATACTATTTTAATTGATAGAAATATAATAACACATAAATATCCCAAGCAACATATGAAATTCCATAACAGTTCATACATGTCATGAAAGTCCACAACAACAAAGAATCATACTCCATGACACATAATTGTCAAATAAACATCCAAAAACCATGATAGATCATGCATCCTCCTCATCGTCCTCCTCCATAGGCTCAGCTGTATCATCGAACAACTCAAATGGTGGCGCCTCTAGGACTCCTTTGCTCCCTCTGGTACAACTCTTGTTGGGCCACAAAGTACTAGTGCAAAAACCATATTGTTCCTAGTGCTAGACGACATAAAAATATGACTGCTCATGTAAATCATGTAGCTGTGGTCACATGATGTTGAGTCCTCTACAAGGGTTTCAAGGCATTCAAAGATAGAAGCGATTGACGTAGTGGCCATGGTCAGAATGGGGTCGGCTTTAAGGAACTCTCTCCTCTCTCTTATGTAGATGTTCTATCATAAGAGAAAATAATGGCCTTAGTAGTGGTTTTTATAGGGTCTAGTTGCTCCTCCTGCTTCTTCTCAATAACCTCTGCATTAGCTGAAAAGGTGTAATAAGGCTAGGGTGGCTCAATCCTAGTATGGTATGCTCGCCAATGATGTGGTTGATAAATTTGGAAATGACAGTCACCATATCAATTGAATTACCTTTTTAAATGTAGTAATTGAGGATGGCTTGATCCTTAGTGACTTCAGTTGGGTTGGTGGTGGGTATGAGTCTCATAGATACGAAATAGTATCAGGATTTTGACTCTTTATTCATAACGGTGCAAGTGAAATTAACAATTTTATCATCCCTAATTTTCCATTGGGTGTTAGAATCAGCGAAACAATTGGTAGTTTCATGATATTCATGAGCCATGTAATTAGAATATTCATAGTATGGGACATTGGCTAGTTTAAGGATTGCATTGATGGTTTAAGGATCAAAGGCTAATAATTTTCCCCACATAATGACTTTCTCATCCACTGGTTCCTGTTAGCATCAATTCCTAGTGTCGCATAGGCAGGATGTCTATTTGAGGATACAAAACTATGCTTCGCCTCCCGCTGTCAAATATGCCCCATCAGACCTCCTGGTATGTGCCCTGAGCACGAAATCAGGACTAGTACCGACTTGGCCACACTCAGGAAAATTCATCAGGATTTGTTGTTAGCCCTGACTCTGGACAAGCTCTATGTCCTTTCTGATGTTGAGAAACCCAACTCAATCTATCCAGCGCATTTTGAGGCCCAAGTTAGTCGCCAAGGTCTCCCACGCGCATTTTGAAAAAATTCAGATTCAGACCAATTTTATCCCTGCGGGGGTTTGAGAGCCTTGTCGGCTCCAAAAGCCCCAATTTGAAACCTATGAAATGTTATATTTTGAGTTTTTGTTGTAATCTAGTGATATGCAATTTTTTGTGGCTTCAAAATCGATGAGGACCTTACGATCATCCGGGTAAAAATTAGGTTTTGAAACATCATACCTACATCGTGGTCCAAGATGACTGTTGGTGACGATTTCCACGAAAAATAACTGATCAAAATACTCATTTTTTATGTTACAAGTATATATTTTAGTCATACATAAGCCCTCATAAATTAGGATCGAAGAAACCCTCCGTCGGACAATCTATGCAAAAATTAGGATTTTAGGCTAAATCGGTGCTTAGGCGCCCACAAATGCATTATAGAGGTTTTTCAAGATGCATGGGAAAGTAGGCGCCAGCCTACTGGCACCTAGGTTCCAATTCTGGATGTTTAAGAGCCTCAGAAACATTCTTTGCCCAAGCAGCAAGAAAGTAGGGGTCAGGGCGAAGACCCAAGTCCAAACATTTAGGTGCCAGTCTAGTTTCTAGATGCAAAATTTTTTAATTTTTTGAGTTTTTTCTTTTTATCCCGGCACTTCTCTCCATGTAGCTGAAATTTGAGATCTCATTGGGCATGGGGAGATTACATGGGAGAGGCAAAAAGTGAGGCAATCATGCCACCTTCTGACTATTTTTAGAAGCTTCCCAAGAGATTAATCATGGTAAAAATTAGAGGGAAAGCTAGTAGGGGGCTTGAAGCTTGGCTAGGAATCTTTCTTCTGCCTTCTTCTGCTTAGTTCTCTTAGCCCTAAGGGCTGGTACTTGGAGCAAGGGAGGAGAACTTGGAGTTTCTTTAGGAGAGAGCTTCCTGAAGCAAAGTTTTAAGGAAGGCTCCTCATCTTCCTCAAGGAGAAAGACCAAGGGGGTGGGTCTTCCAAATTCTTCTTCATCTTCCTCCCTCCTTTTCTCTGGCGAATTCCTTTTCTCCGGTGAACTCCTTTTCTCCACTGAACTCTCTTCTCTCTGGCAAACTCCATTGGACTCGGCATAAAGGGCTATGAAAGCTTCATCCTAGCTTGGGAGAAGCTCATACGCCAGAAAACTCGCCATTCTGCATGATATATTGATTTTTGATATAGTTGATATTCATTTTATTAGTTTCTTTGATAATATTTTAGATACTTTTAGTAAAGCTTCCAAACTTTACATTAATTTTTTTCTAAATCAGCTTTTTCCTTTTCTAAATCAATGGATTCTCTCATCTTTATGTGGTTTTGTCTTTAAACATTTATCCTAGAATTACCTGGGTATCACCATTAAACATTTTAATGTTATTATTTCTTGTATTCATTTATTTACTAATAAAGGTTAGAAGGAAAAAAATTCCATCTACTATTAGTAAGCTTCGGTTTATTAAATTCACCATTTATAAATATCTTTATTATTAATTTTATTTTACAGTTTTACATAAATGATTGAGGAAAAAATCACTTTTATAATATGGAATTTTCTTTATAATAATGAGACTTGATAAAATCTTCATATTGTTACTTGGGACAAAGTTATTATGCCATCATTATGTTAGTCTCGAGCTCCTTTCTTTAGTACCATAAAAAATCACTTTTATAATATAAATTTTCTTCATAATAATGAGACTTGATAAAATCTTCATATTATTACTTGGGACAAATTTATTATGTCATCATTATGTTATTCTTGAGCTCCTTTGTTTAGTACCATAAATATTACGTGTGAATCTGAAAACTTTTGAAAATTTTATAATTCTAATTCTGTTTTATCCAAATGGTGTTTTAATTATTATGATTCTCTTTGGTTCTATTTTCATCATGTACAATGCCCTTTTTGAAAAGATTTAGTTAGCATTTCTAAAAGGATAAAACTTTATTTAACTTTTAAAATTTTTAGTAATTGTCATTTATTCTTTTTTTATGATCCTTGGTTTAATGGTTTGTCTTTAAAAGAGTATTTGATATTATTTTCTCCTGGTTTAATATTCCTTTTAATACTGAAGTTGTTAATGCTTTTGATTTTTGTATCAATGTTATTGATAGTATTCACATATCTCATGATTTTTCTTGTCTTTGGAATAAAAATAATATTTATTGTCATGTGTTTGCTAATTTCATTTTATATGAATCTTTCACATGTGTTGATTGGTTTAAATTTATATTGTTTAAATGTTTATTTATTAAATTTATTTTCAATTATTGGAAGATCATACATAATGATTTGAAAATTGTTGATATTCCTATCTTAAGAGGTATTAATATTAATAATCTATGTTATGTGTTTTAATAACATTGAAAATCATAAACATCTATTTTTTGAATGGTCTTTCTCTTATTATTCTCTTAATAAACGTATTCATAATGATGATTTCTTTAATACACCCTTTAAAATATTTCAAGTACTTTATCACTTTGATAATATTTCTTGTAAAGTTAAGAAAAAAAATTTATATTCTTGTTTTACAAATTACTGTCTATTACAATTGGTTTGAGAGAAACTCTAAAATCTTCAATAATAGCTTTACTCTATGGATTTAATTGTTCATATTATTTATTGGATGATTTTTAAAAAAAAGCATAAAATGAAAAGAGAAATATTCATGAGTTTGTTATTGAGTTTCATAGTTTTTTATCTTTGATTTGGTTGTAGGAGGCTTTATATCTTATTACTTTCATTTTTAAGAGATTTAATTTAGCTTTGTTGTTTTCATTTTCCTTAAATAAAATTCAATTGTTTTTTAATTTTAATTCATTTATAAACTTGGATGAAATTATTGTTATGGTGTTTGAGTTTTCTTACAATTTTGATCAGCCTTTTTGTATTGGTTGATTTGATTTCTTTCTGTTCTTCCTATTTGTTACATGTTGAGGATTTTGGTTTGACTATGTTACTTTCTTATTTTTGTTATTTGGTGTTATGTCTGTATTTTTGTATTTTCTTTTATGGTCGTTCTTTTTTTATGGTTAGTTTTGAAAGAGGTTATTCATTTACCTGGTTGGTTTCTATTTTAGCTTGTTAGATTATCACTCTTATTTCTATGGTTATTTTTTGGTGTAACAATTGTTGTTGCATGTTGATGTTGTAGATTTATTATTTTATTTCATGTTTATGAGGTTGTTTTTTGATGGTTAGATATTATTTGATTGTCTGTTTTTTTGTTAGCATGTTGATTTTTATTTTTGTTTAAGATTGGTTTCATTTTTTAAATGTTTTTGTCTTTCCTTAAATTCAACCTTTTTTTGTTTTATAACTTTTAATTAAAAAATAACAATGAAAATTTAATGTTTGTTTTTGAGTTTTTTAGATGTTTTGGTAGCTTCATCTATTTCGGATGGTTACTCTTTTTTTGTTCTTCATCCTTACTTCATGATGTTTCTTTTGTTTGGTTTAGATTATGCAATTGTGTTGGGTTTTTAATGTGATTTTTTTCTTTATCTATTTTTGTTTATGTTTTGGCTTGTGTGGGGCTTTCTCCTCGTTTTCATGTGGTTGTTAGCTGATTATATGTATTTGGTATTTGATTATGTTTTTTTTTTTTTGTGGTTGGATAATCCTGTATTTGTTTGGTAAGTACAGATACATGATTGATTTTTTTATTTAGTTTGAGATTAATGTAAACTTTGATGAATTCCAACCATTTATTAAAATTTAATTATTTTTTAATATTTAAAATCGTTTAGATTTGAATATATTCAAAGACCAGGACAAAATTTTGATGTTTTTTTGCAGGTATGTTCTGAGCCCTGTTTTGTATTTTATAAAGTTTGTGTTTTTCTTATGGCAGTCTCATTGTTTCTATTGTTTTGTTGTTTTGATTTTTTGGTTTGTTAGTTTATTTTTTCTAGATCTCGTCGGGTTGTTGTTTTTGGATTTTTTTTTTTTTTTTTTTACTTTCAAAGGATTATCTTTTTATGTGGTCTCTTCCTGTTTCATGCTATTATTCTTGGAGTTGAATGTTGTTATTTATGTTGATGTTGATGATGACTATGAAGATTATTCCAAATGTTGTTGATGGGGTTTTTTCTCTTTTGTTATTATTTATAGCTATTTGTTGTTGTTGGATGTTTATGTTACTGTTGGGTTTTCTTTTTAGGGTGTGCTCCTACTCCTATTTTGTTTAGAGTTTATGTTTTTTTTTATAACTTTTTGTGCTTTATTTATTTTCCCGTGAGTTTTAATTTGAGTCCTCGAGTTGTAAATCTTCATTTTCTTTTAATGTATACTTGGCGTGGCCCTTATCTTTTCGCAAAAGAAAAAAAAAACTAATCATTTTTATTTTTTTTCTTTTATGTGACTTGGCCATTATTTTTATTTTTATTTTTATTTTTCATGTGTTGCCTTTCTTTCTCGCAAATGAGAGGCTTTTTTTTTTTTTTTTGTTACACAAATGCTAACGACTATTATTATTTTATATTTTATTTTTGTCTATAAATAAAATCATATTGTCCTCTAGTGATCATAAAGGATTTTAGGGTACCAACTTGCTTTGAAGGGCTAGTAACTTAGTAAATTTTATTTTATAGGAACTGTAAGCGGCTTTCATAACTATATATTAATCGGTCATTTTCAGTTAACCATCTCCAACCAATTGCATAGAAGGGTATAATTGTCATTTTATAATAATTTTTGGGAGTGACGGACAAAATTGAATCCAACAAACTACATAAAAAAATATCACTTTTTAAAATCATGCATATTTTTGATATTTTGATATGAGTTTGTTTAGAGCTAATTTAGAGCTAATATTAAAGAGATCTTTGATATTTTAATATGTTTCGTTACCCTGTAAAGGTGCAGGAGATGGTTGCTAGCGACAAAAAGAAGGTGGCAGGTGGATGGGTGGCGAATGGCCGGCAATTATAGGCGGAGTCAGCAAACAAGCGGCCAACGACGTGCGTTGGAAAGCAAGGTCAGCAAGGTCTGACGGTACTCTACATGAAGCTGTGCATTTGAAATTTGCTCAAATCCAATAAATTTTAAATAAATTAAATATGAACAATGAAATAAATTCCAAATACAATATAAGTTTACACTGCAATTGGAATCTTTTAACCAAACTAGTAGATTTCCATATAATGGAAATTTATAAGCATACTGATTCAATCTTGAAATAAAAAAAAATTAAATTTATTTTTCTAACATTATGATACGTTTAGATGTACAAGTTTATATAGATAAAAGGGAAATTTTCTAGCAGAATGAAATAACTATTCTTCCTTTAATTAAATCATTGAACTTAACTTTTTTACATAGCCCTCAAATATAAGATTATTGAATATCAACAACAAAATAATAGCTACATGGATATTAAATGCCACCAATTTTCACAAAACTTTTGCATCTTACCAAACATGAATATTATAAAAATTGAGCATGCAATATGTAAGAACCCTTCAATAAAATCTAGTTTTATGCCTAACATTTCACCAACTAAAATAACTAATGCATTCAATATGTTAAACTACAAATGTATTTAATTTCTAATAATATGAATTTATCAACATTTAAAAATCACAATAATCTTGGACCAGCCAAAGAAAAAAAAAATTAAACTTTTGAACAAAATCACTTTAACATTAAATAAATAGAAGAAATAAAATGGCAATGGTGCATTTAAGAACCAAATAAAATACAAAAGTTATTATAGAGTACAATGAAAAGAAGAAAAAAAAAACATTTATCTCAAAGGGACCAATTAGTTAAATTAAATGGTTAGAGAAGTTCCCTTAACTCCAAATGCAATGAAATTGACGCTGGTGTCGTCTGACAAAGACCACTCTCCAGTCAAAGGATTGTAAACAAACCCTGCCATTTCTTCCACCTAAGCACAGATTACAAAACCCAGTTATAAAAACAATAATGCACAAATATTGAAATGTAAAGCAAAATGACAAAAAATAAGAGTATGATACGGAATATATGGGTAAGAGGCAAGAGGTATTTATTTTCTTTTGTATTTGTGCTATTTAAAGAGCTGCCTTTTTGTAAATCATGTATTTAAATCGTTAACGCACTCGAATATATATCCAATAAATAAGCAAAAAATTAGCTTGGCAAAATAAAAAAAAATTTATAATAAAGGTAAAGCCAAACTATAGAAGAATAGATTAAGAAATGATTACATCAGAAGGACAATTGAAATAACATGTACAATAGAGAATAGACTTTTGGACATGAACAATAAAATATATAAAATAAATGCATAAACTATGTAGAACAAATAAGTATCAAAGAATCAAGAAAGGGAAGAATAAAAGAAACATGATGAGTAGATTGAAGTGTAAGAGAATTTACCGAGATTGAGGCTCTTTGTAGAATCAGCACAAGTTCCTCTGGAGTGAGAAATTTGGACCATTGATGAGTTCCTCTTGGAAGCTGCCATTATAAGAGAAGAAGAAATAAATTCAAATAATGCCAAACAAAAATATGCATGTTTTATAATAATGTACGCCTCTATATTAGTTGCTCATTGAAGTTTGATGTTTATGGAACTGGGTTTTTTGAGAAAACATAAGTTCAAATAAATTTTTTGACGGCACAAACATTTTGTGTAATCTCTCTCTCTTTCTCTCTCTCTCTCTCTCTATCTCTATCACACATGCGCGTGCGCGCATGCACACACATCTGATACATGCTGTGCTAGAGCCATGAGATATTTTCCCAAAGGTATCAAACGCAGAATCACCAGATTTTAAGTTTCCCGCCCCGTGCAAGCATACATGAAGGTGTTCAATTAAGAAAAAGAGAGAGAGAGATTATAATATCCAAAGTTCACTCCAAACAGCTATTCAAGAATCAAGAGTAACTCATGAATGGTTTAAACATGCCTGCACTAAAGTTTATAATATTAAAAAAACCCATATTATTTCAGAAAGTCAAGTTGAAACTAACAATTGCTTCACCTAAAAACTTTACAAATATTCTTGAAAATATACAGCAATGAATCAGTCTAGAAAACAATAGATTGTACGTAAAAATGTGATGAGACCTTTGACAAAAAAAGAATAACCTCCTAGTAGTTTAAGCACAACTATGAATGAAATCCTAACAGGCATATAGGCTAGATTTAAGTCTAAATTAAACTTTGTGCTTCTGGTAATTTCATCATACCCAATTAAGGAGGTATTCTGCAGCAACAATTGCAGTAGCATATGCTCTCACAGAGCGGTTGATCGTAGAGATCACAGTGGCTCCTCCGGGAGCAATTAAAGCTGAAAGTGACTCACAAAAATCAGAGGAATCAGCGACATGCTCAATTACCTGTAATTATTACTATGTTCAGCGATTCTGACAACAAATATTGCTGTATTCAATAGGGAATGAATTACGTGCCATTAACCATTTCAAAAAATAATATGCGCATTTACATGCATAGAACATAATTCTCATGTATTTACATATCTCACACCTAAACTCTCACGGTTACACACATAGCTCTCACATCTTTAACATGACATAAAAAATAATACTATTATCACGGTGATCTTTTATACACTTTATATAAGTTAAAAATAGCACTATTATCACTTTAACGAACCAAAGTGCTATGTATGTAAAAATGAAAGTTTAGGTATGAGATATATAAATACATAAGTATTATGTGCTACATCTGTAAAATTTCCAATATAATTTAAAGGAAGTATTTTGTGCTACGTATGTAAATTTTTCAAAATAATTTAAAGGAAGTTCAATATAAAGTGTCAACTAAAGGCTAAAAATCTCTCCACAAATAAATAAAAAACAGAATCCTCACCCCTAGACACTACATACCTCAAGGGCAAGCACAGCATCAAATTGCTTGTTGGCCCTGACTAATTTCTCTGCACCACAAAGTATTCTTTATATAAGAAAGTTTATTTTGTATAGCAAACTCAACTTTACAGAGGTATTTAGGATGACATTAGCCGGAGCATAACAAAGAATGCTCTTCGCACAACAAGAAGAAACTAATGAACGTTGTAAGGAAATAATGATTTCCTCGTGAATTAGTCAGATTTAGATAGCATGCAATCTAATTAAATAAAAATGGTTTATTTTAGTAGTTCCACGTCATTGGCCTGTATGTACAATCTAGATCAAGAGTTTAAAGTGCCACACATTTTAAAGAGCTACTGAAGCAAAAAATAAATGACATAATATAATCAATAATTATAAAAACGCCAAAATTTTCATTAACGTAAAATGCACCACAGTTTAGCAAGAAGCATAAAATATGCAATTCCAGACCAGCAATGAAGCGGATATATATATATATAGATAGATAGATAGATAGATAGATATACTGCAATGGGTAAATAAGGCAAGGAGGAAAAAAGAATAGAGAAATGTTACGTTCAAATTAATTCTTATTTAGCCCCATTTACAGGTTCATTGCAACCCCATATTCCACAAAGTATCGAACATGTCAGACAATGCAAAGAGACTTCCTCTTCACTCTCAAACATTATTCACGCTTGGCTCCTTCACTACCTCTACAGTTCTATTTGTTGTTTTCAAAATAACATCCAAAAAGATGGAAACCCAAAGGATTAAAAATCCTAGACTCGAGTTCTTGTTCAAGAATTTTGGATCAAGCAATTTAAAAAAACGGATTGAAAAATTTGGTCTGGAATGCTCTCCTTTTTCTTCAAGAATGCTACAATTACACTCTAAATGATGATCACAAATTGCTGTCGTTCAGTGATTCCTCTGCTCCAAAACAGACCTAAACCTGTCAAACTCCTTTGATGGATGAACTTCAAGTGCTTAGAGAGCTTAGGCCTTCTGAGTTGATTCTTTCGCCAACAAGAATTTGTTGGGTTCCAATTGCCACTTAAGTACTTGCAGGGAGACTAATGAATCCAGTAGGCTCTTGACGTGATTTCCCAAGAAAGAGAAAATAGGGAGAGAATTTTGAGGCAATTAAAATATGATTTTTTTTTCTCATTAATCAAGCTTATTTATAATTACAATATACATTTTAAAATATAATTTTTTTTGTCATTAGTCAATTTTTATATGAGCATATTTCAATTGAATTAATTATGAAAAATCTTTATCCAAGCTAATATATGTTGAAATTTTATACAATAATAAATTTGACTAGCCTATTTTATATATTGTCATTTATAAAATCAATCAATACAAAGAATAAAGACTAATTCCATTCTAAGCAAAATAATATTTTTCAATAAAATTGTAGAGTAAAATCTCAATAAATTTGATAAGGACCATTTTCTTAGTCAAATATAAAAAATATTCGAGGATGCTCATAATTGCTAAAGATGTAATAAATAAAAAATAACAAACATGATTCTTTCATTAGTAAAACTATTTTAGGGTAGAACTTGACATCCTTTCCAAATTAACCAAAAAAAAAAAAAAATACATTGCATGGCTGGAGATATCACTCAAGATGAGGGTAATCAAACTGAACCAGCTTATTTAGGGGTATTTTTTTACTCTCTTTTTTTTTTGTTTGTCATGGTGCATAAATAAAGTTATGATATATTAAAAGTTTTTTTTAATCAGTTATGTTTGTAGAGACAATTTCTAAGTAAATGATGCTTTCAAATTAAAATTGAAAACAAAATTATGCCAAAAAAAAAATCATCATTAGATCATATCAAGACACAGTTATCCTAATTAAGAATGAAAATTCTGAATTTCATTATAAGCAAATCCATGAAGGATTAAAAATGAATTACTCTCTCCCTATAGAAAATAAAAAAAAGAATACTTCGAAGTTATCAAGAGCGGTCCTTCAAAGTGTTCCAATATCCAATTTTACTGCTAACAGTGACAATAACATGTTCTATAAAAATAGAATTAGTTGGAGACCCAAATATGAATAAACATTAGTGATCCAAGCCCATCTAATCAAAGCTCATACAAGAACAGACAATAACCCATAATTGCAAAATTTTATCATGAAACCTGTTAGTAATTCTCTTAGTCATGTATTATTAACTCCACTAATAAAAGTAGATAGTATATTCTCTGAATAGCCGTTAAGTAGTCTCTAAGCTAGCAAAAAAAAGGGATTTTCTCTCCAAAACTTATGCTTTTTTTATTAGATGTTTTCTTATTTTGTAAGTATCAGTTTACTAATTATTTTGGTAATATTTTGAAGTCCGATTTCAGCTATATATTGAGATCTTTTGTATCATTGTAATAAGCATGTTTTTAGAAGTCTTATTGTGTGCTCTTTCTAATCAGTAAAACAATTTCTCTAATACCAGTATAATTTAACGATTACGTTTAATATATTTTCATATAAATAAAGTCTGGTTTGTAATTTCCTTACTTCTAGTCTATTTTTTGTTTAATGCTCTATTTATATATAGATGTATGCATGAATGTATTTGTGAACGTGTGTGTTTATATTTATGTAAATTTTTATGTGTTGATAGCTACTCGTGAGCCGAATACATCTGAAGCAACAATAAGCATTTTTTATAAACATGCATATAATTCTCTTATTAACCTTCATCTATGACTCAGAGCATCACCCTTCTCCCGGATTATATGAATTCATTCTCGCCTCTTTTAACTCTTACCTGTGGGAGTCATGGTTGCTTGGTTTTCTCTTTATAATTCAAACCCTTTTTTGGGTTCATCTTTGAGTTGTCTTTTTCCCTCTATATATTGTCTAAAGATGATCATCAAGGCATAAAATATACCTAGCTAAATTTAACCTTGGCCAAACTCAACCTAATTAGGTTCTAGAGACACCTAGGTTAATGGGATAACACCAATTCGGCTACTGCTTAATTAGTGTCAAACATGCCAATAAGGAAGGACTCAGCGTTATCATGTCCAAATGACTCAATCTATTGACTATATCCTAGTCTCATGCAATCAAAATCATCGAGATTCCTTAATTACCCAATTGATAGATCAAGCTTCAACCGTTCTATTTAGAGCCCTCAATCCATGTGGCCATACAAATAAAAATCTTATGATAGAATAATGATATGAGTACATCAAAGGTAATTAACAACAATTACAAAAGCACAAAAAAATAATTGCAGAAGGACAAATAAATAATGCATAAAGCCAAGGATGCACCACCAAATAAAACAAGAAAAACAACAACAAAAAACAAAGGACTTCACCTTTCTTATAGCTTAGTGTTGGCAACAGAATGATGAATGTTTTATTATGACAACATCTAGAAAAAAGTATTTGCAATACCTTATTCCTTAAAGCATCTTCACTCATAATGCTTCCACTAAAATTATCATGATGCAGATCATTGTGTTCAACATTGTCTTTACTAATAAGAGGGAGAGGGAGAACTAATTTTGTACATATGTGCTCTCACACATAGCACAACCATTGTCGGGTCCCAAGTTTGAAATGTGAAAAGTGGAGTGTTAAGTTAGGTAATAGATAGTCAACGTAAAAAATTTTATCAAAAAATTATAACATGAATCCTTTAAATTATTGTGTGAAAGTTAGTATGTCCCCTGAAATCGATGTGATATATGACCTGAATACAGTTAAAAATATGCAAGAACTAATACACCGACACCCGAGTATAGTGTTATATAAACAAGAGTTCTCACATTATGGACAAATATAGGCAGAGAGTGAGCTAATATTAGAATAAGAACTTGAAATATAGGTACTGTCAAAGATAAATTAATAGAACTAGTCGATATTATATTTCATAGGAAGATAAATATCTTATTTATTCGAGAATTAAATGGGTTAGATAAAAAACTAAGGAGATTGATAGTTTCGATTTTAAATACTATTAAGGTAGAAGTTGTACTAGAAATCAAATATATATAATTATAGATAAAAGTTTGAAAAATAATTTTAAAATTGTTGAATTGTATATAGAATTATAATTCTAAAGATTATGGTTGATACTACAATTCTTAACGTTGCAAGTCTTTATGCTCCTCAAGTAGGTTTGAATATATGTTAAAAAAAAAAGAATTAACCATAAAAATTAATACAAAAGATATCTCTTGTATAAAGAATTTTTATTGAAGAAGACTTAAATGAACATGTTGGAAGGGTGATAAAAGTTTTTTGAATTATTCATAATGAATATGTTTTTAGAATTTCTAAGGAAGAATTTTAAGTCATATTGAATTTTATTTTAACTTATAATCTTATTATAGTTAATATTTTATTTAAAAAAAGAGATGAGCATATTATCACTTATAAAAATAGATTTAATAAAATACAAATCAATTTTCTTATGAGAAAAATATATCATCAATATTATAAAGATTCTAATGTCATACCAAGTCAAAGTTTAAGTACCCAACATCAATTATTAATTTTAGATTTTAAAATGAAAGATTGGAAAATGAAAAATATAATAAAGTATTATCATAAAATTAGACGGGAGCATTTAAAAGACATAAATTAAATGATTTTTATGAGAAAACCTCAAGATCATAAGATTTGAGATATTCATAAATCAACAATACTATATACAATAAAATAATTAGTATTAAAAGAGTTGAAAAAGATGTGTTTGGAAAAATAAAAGAAAAAAACTTTCATGAATAAAAATAATTTGTAGTAGAATAATAATGTGCCAGAAAAAATAAAAAAATTTATTATAAAAAATGATTTAGAGAATCGAAATATATATAAGACAACTTATAGAAAGTCTAAGATAACAATTTGTAATGCTAAAAATTTTACTTTTAGTGATCTTCATAATAAAATATATATTGAAGATGTGAAAGATATATTTATAAACTAGTCAAGCAAAGAGAAAAAAAAATAATGATTTAATTCAGCTAAAGTGTATTAAGAATACAACAACAACAACAACAAACCTTTATCGCACAGTGGGGTCGGCTACATGAAT